CCCAACCCCCCCAGCCCGGTCACAGGCCCTAACCCCAAAACCAACCACCCCTCACCCTGGCCCCACGATATATATATACATCATATATATATATGTGGATATCCTGTGTGTCCTGTCGACTGAAGAACCGGATGGATTGGATGAACCGATGGATGAGACGAGGATGGATTCCCTCTTGGAGATCGCTCCTGGATAAGGTAGCCATCTTAATACATCCTGGGGATAATCCGAAAGCCGACGGAAGTGTACGAGTTCTGTGTCCTCGGGAATAGAGAATAGTTTGTCTCTCCCCTCTCTCTGTCTGTCTCTCTAAAACTTTAACACTTTCAAGATGATTGGGACACCGGGGAACGGTCCTTCTTGGTCCCTTGTTTTATCTGTTCCCTCTCTTTTACACTTGTAAAATCAATATATATTTAACATGCATCCTTGGGGGGTACACGGTAGACGATTAACGAACGAAAAGTCTCGCGCGAGTATCGCCAAAATGTCTTTTGAAAAATTGCGGTGGAGGTTCGTGGAACAAGAGATAAAATTGCGATTATGGTATCCGAGTGGCACGTCTCTGAGAAAAAATGTTTTTCATTCTTTTCGACGACACAACACACAACACATTACGAACCATTCGGTACAATCGTACTATTACCTGCGAGTGTTCTTTTCAAGATTAATGAGAAAAAAAAGGAACTTAACGAAAATCAAAATAGGAGGTAACATGGAAATTTCAATAAAAGAAAAAAAAAAATTGGGACAAAATACGATATACCGATTAAGATGGACAAGGACAGATAAGTCGATCGCGTGGATCCGATCGCGAGGAATTTCGTCTGTGCGCATGCGCGAGTATCCCTTCGGCCACGATCGCGAGTGATCGGTTAATTTGAAATAGTTTAAACGTTCGAAAATATACAGCGGTATATCGGGAGTTTTCGGTGTTGCCCGGAACGAGCCGGAGTTACGAAAAATATGTAAAAGAATTTTTGTACCCGTTCCCTGACCCCCAAAACCACCCATCCACCACCCCACCATTACAAAAATCAACAACAACATCACTACCCTCACCATCAACAACACCAATAACGAAAAGAGAGGAGTTACGAGGGATGCAAGATCGTCGATCGGCAGCTGCGTTAATACGTCATCGAATGTGGACCATCATTCCCCCCCTTTGAGCTATCAACCCTTTTATCCCAGGAAGAGATGATAACGAGTATCCTACACGTGCCAGCACTCATGTACGCACACTGATGTTCACACACATCCAATTCACAAAAATGACAAAAAAACAGACGAGCGCAATGTGTAGTACGTATATAGAAGATTGAAGGAGAGTGCTCGTCCGGAATTTGCTTCGTGCAAACCCGCGTCGAATGATGTAACATAAGTAAATATGGACTGTAAATAATGTACCAGATAAAGCTAGTAAGTTAAGAGAAGTGTGCATGCGCCGCCGTAAGCGACCTCGTCGATTTTACGATTTTATATACATCCCTCCTTCTCTTTTTCTCTTGTTCTCGTTGTCTCGCTCGCTCGTCCCTTTGGTCTCTCTCTCTCTCTCTCTCTCTCTCTCTCTCTCTCTCTCTCTCTCTCTCTCTCTCTCTCTCTCTCTCCGCAGTGAAGACAGTGAAGACTTTCACTTGGATTGACAGAGAGAGAGAGAGAGAGAGAGAGAGAGAGAGAGAGAGAGAGACAGAGACAGAGGGAGAAAAGTATAGAATCTCGTGGTAAAGTTTTTTTTTTTTTTCAAGCAGAAGACGGCATACGAGATGCCTAAGTGACTGGAGTTCAGACGTGTGCTCTTCCGATCTAGAGAGAGAGAGAGAGAGAGAGAGAGAGAGAGAGAGAGACAGAGACAGAGGGAGAAAAGTATAGTAAGATTGTCAATAGATGGCATTAGAAGATAGAATGAGAAAATAGGAGCGTGAGAGAACGAGAAAGGGAGAGGAAGAGCGTGAGAGTGAGAGAGGAGAGAGAGTGGGTGAGAAAAAAAAAGACCAGGAAGGACTGTGAAAAGTTCGCGATGTGTGACGTACCGAGAATATATTATTTGAGATACACGAAATACATTAAATACAGTCAGGCTAAATCCATACACTGTGGTACACTAAAAAATACATATATACTGACGTGCGACAAAGATCGATGAACTATTAGCGAGAGAGAAAGAGAGAGAGAGAGAGAGAGAGAGAGAGAGAGTGCGCGAGATATAAGTTTTTCACCCCGCAATCTCTTTCCACGAAAACAAAAATACCCCTGTCTGTATAAAGAGTAAGTATAACGCGGAGAGATAAAAAAAAAAGTAATGCAAAACCTATAAACGCAATGATGTCGAAAGATTCTAGATATATTATTGATTAATTAATTATTATATTATTATTGACATCGCTGCCGCCGCCTCTCACCCCCATGAACCACCCATCCACCCCCTTGAAGTTCTCGGCCCTATGTAAGACCTCTGATACGTATGGTGTCCTTGCATTGACTTCCCTACCTCCCCCCTCCCCCTACCTCCTTCACAGACATTATTATTATCATCAAGATCCTCTTTCAGGCCTAATGCACATTGAGAGAGAGAGAGAGCACTCTTTAGGCCTTTTTCTCTATCTCGGAAATTCTCCACTAGTTTCGAGTCGCTGTCGGTTTTACATCGATTTTATATCACGTGGTTGTTTCACCTTTTTTCTTTTTTAATAAATTAAAGCGTCTTCATAAACTTTCTTTTCCAATTGTTCGTCCCCGTCGTTTACCGAAAAGACGTTCGCCGTTTAGTCGCTAGTGGCGCTACCGTCGCCGTTCCGCGACGTACGGCTTCGATTCGGCTTTTATCTTCATTCTCTTGACGTCACAATCAATCGACCATGCAATTTGGCAAGGGCAGAGAGCTTGCGATAATAGCGTCAAACAATACGCCAGTCAAAATGAAAAGCACAAGTCAAACCGTAATGACAACTCGAGGGGCGCGAACTCTCATTCCGCAATCGGCCGCGGGGCGGGGAGGGGGCTCCTCGTATTATTATATTTGTGTAATATTAGTATTATTTTATCCCCGAGTTATTTGCTGGATATACAAAAGGAGCGAGAGTTCGAAACGTGATAGAGGATCATGACGGTTATCGTCAAACCCCCCAGCCCATCCCTCCGTCAGCCCCCTCCACAAGATCATCAGCCTGGGCCGTGAAACAAAAATTAAAAGAGAGAACCCAAATGAACCTAGACCAACCCCAGCCTTTCCCTCCGAACCCTCCTTACCCTCCGACCCTCACCCAACAATGATTTCTGTACATACTAGAGTATTTACATATTGTAACAAAGCGGAAAAAAAAAGATGTGGAAGTAAGTCGTGTTGACGGTAGTGTAACTATTCGATGAATTAATTAAAAAGGAATAAAAAAAAAAGGTAAATCGAGCGAAATAATTGACGAAACACTGTGAAAAGTTGTTTTTAAATATGGCGGTGGACCGCGCGAGTTCTTAGTTATTATTTTTATGTTTTCTTTTTGTGTTACACGGTACACGTAGAGATATGGTACGTTTTCTTTTTTTCTCGCATATCGACAATTCCGATTGATCCGCTTCCTGAGGCTGCATCGCTCGTGGCTCTTTATTATTATCTATTATTATTATTATTATTATTGTCACTCGCCCGAGCGTGCTGCCATCTCGATACGGATCGCCCTTACTTCTTATTTGACCTGATACATTCCACTGTTATACCTGCGGTCGACTCCAATGTTAAATTTTCATAAGCTATTGTTATTATCCGATTCCGTCATCGATCCTTGGCACAACCCCCCCCCCAACCCTTTTTTATTCCCCCCGCCCCTCACCCTTGTCAGTAATTGTAAGTTCATGCCTACACATTACAAACCCAAATAATTGTGATAATGATACGTATAGTAATTTTAACGCGGTGCGTATAGTTTTATTATTACACTGTACAAAAGGACGTGAGAGCCGCGCTGATCTGATCGCAGGCGGAAATATATCGGAATTGCCGAGTGGTGGGCTTTAACGAGAGAGAAGAATAAAACATAGTATAACGAAAGTGAAGAAAAAAAAAAGGATGTCTCAAAGAAATTATTGACCAATCAACAAAACAAAAAAGATGAAAACCAGACACGTACCTATCGCCTATACGAATCAAACTCTAATACGGCCCAATTCCTTGCCAGATCCACGAGTCCCTGGGACAGTCGAATCCTTCCTTCTTACCTGTTTCTTCGTAGAAAATTTAAGATTACAACGTTCCACGTCATGGGAATCAGTCGGATATGTATGTTCTCTTGGCTGTTATGTGTTTTCGTTGCGTCTCCGCTCGATGAGGATGATTACGGTTGTAGCTGTTTTTAAATGTATTTTTTTTTCCATTGGCAAAGAATCGCGCGGTTCCTGTGACAGAGATCGATTTAGACGGATATCGAGCTACTCGGATCCCGGTTTTATGGTTGTTGCGTATTTTTGGTTTTTGTTATTTTAATGAAACGTGACGTAGTCGAGGGCGATCGGAACGACGCGATGAGGGCTTCTTTTGGAGCGGATTCGGAATCGGGTTATAATTGTGACGCATATTCGATACCTTACTTAGGGGAGTATGAGAATTCGGATGCGTGTCCTTTATGTGGCTGTATTTCCAAGGATCACTATTAATTATTGACCTAAGCTCGCTCTTGTAAATAATATTAGTGTGATTAAATGTGCGAGAGAGAAATTAGCTGCGATTCCAAGGAAAATAAAGGGGGTAGTAAAGTCATTTGCAAAATTAAAGACGGATCAGACTACGAGAAGATGACAGAGATTTTGGCCCTCTTACGATTGAGTATCGTGAGGGTATATTATAAAAAAAAAAAAAATTCTAATCCCGACGCTCGACTTTTTTTTTTTTTTTGGAAATCGGCAGAATTTGAAGAGTTCAATTTCGCAAGGTACCACTGTGCCAAAAGAACGTGGGTCGTTCGCCAATTTTGTTTTTGCCTAATACAGGGTGACGATTCTGGTCTTTCTCTAAAGGGATGAAAGTACTTGATAACGATAAGGTTCCGTGTTCCTTTGTGGGGTGAATTTTTAATTTATCAGAAATTTGCATATTATATATATATATATATATATATACTAACTTTTATCTTTTCTCCCCCATTCCCCTACTCCGCTCTCACTCTCTCGTCTTTTAATTTATCAGAAATTTGCATATCTAAAGGGA